CAAGAATTCATCCATTTCAATAAAAGCTTATTAATGTGCATGCAGTCTCTTGAAACTTTAATACAATAGTGAAAACCTACAAACACGCCTTTGAGTTACAAATACTGAAATTTTCGTCTTGTCACTTACCGACTCTTTGCCTGTACTGGCCGTGGCCGCACTCTTTGCAGCCTCCATTCCACGATGACCAGGCCATGCAACCTTTGAAAATGATACGTTGTGGGAAAAGAGTCATATGTGGAATCGCTTCCTTGTTTCATAAATCTGAAGCTTGCCATAAAGGATACTAAAATAAATACTTATTTTCGTTGATAACGTGAGTTCCTAAGGTCCAAGGAGGCTTCAAACTATAGCCTTCAAATTTAAAATTTCCCGATCTCGCTTCATTCGTGTGCTCCCAACATCATGCAGGAATTTTTCATTTATCCCGGGAAAATGCCAATTTTTTCTATTTCTCAAATAGATGGCTGTGCAAAAACATTTTAAAAAAACAAACTAGGATTTCAATATCGTCAGCTTTGAATTCTTAAATTTTGCTGTCAAAACTCCACCAGAAGATGGCTGAGGTCTGAGACACTGGAATTTAATCCTTGTAAAATTAAAAGTTTGTTTCTATGCTGGCCTATGCATACTGATATACTGATCCACAAAGAAACACTCTATCTTTCCTCCATTTTTCTGTTGGGAACTATTCGTTTGATCAACCATTTTTATTATGCCTGCTGATAAATAACAGTTAAAACATGCCTACTTACAATCTGTTAATAGTTAGGATGAGGATGTAAGGCGAACATGAAAAGAAAGTTTGCACATTTAATGAGTAAATAAACAGCTTAACCATGTATACACACCACAGGCTACATACACCATACTCGTCAAACATGTAATCAACTGAACATGCACTCACCCGCTTATAAATCCGGAAAAGATACCATGAAAGGGAAAAATAATTCAAACAAAGACATTTATTGATCTAATCATTTACTTATTTATTTTGAACTTAGCGC